ATTCAGTGGGGCAAAAAAGTAACCTTAATACTTTGTGCTGTAACCTTGGGTGGCAATGACAGAGGTCAAATGTTCCCCGTAGGTCTTTAGGCTTTCATATACTGTGGCTGGTATTTTGGCCCGTTCTTCCATGCAGATCTTTTCTAGGACTTTAACTCCCTCCACATATTAACTATTGGATTTAGGTCTGAAGACTGGCCACTCCAAAACCTTGAAAAGTTTTTTGCTCAGTCACTCCTTTGTGGAGCTGTGTGTTTGGGATCATTTTCATGCTGGAAGATTCAGCCACATTTCAGCTTCTATGCTCAGATGGAATGAGGTTTTAGCCTGATCTCTCATGATACATTGATCCATTCATCCTTTCCTTGATAATGTTCAGTTGTCCTGTTCTTTTTGCATAAAAGCATCCCCAAAGCATAATGTTTCCACCCCCGTGCTTGAGAGTTCGGCATTCTTCCCCCTCCAGACATGGCGAGTGGCGTTTATACCAGAGAGTTCTAATTTGGTTTCATCTGACCTCATGACATTCTACCAATCCTCCTCTGGGTCATCCAGATGGACTGCCAAACCTTAGACAGGCCTGGACTTGTGCAGAAGCAAAGGGACCCTAATAGTAACCTTGATACTGGCATCCCAATTTTCTTCGGGTCATTGACCAATTCCCCCATGTAGTTCTGGGTTGTTTCCAAACTGTTCTCAAGATCATTTATAACCCACAAGGTAAGATCTTGCATGGAGCCCAAGGTCGAGGGAGATTGTCAATGATCTTGTATTAATTCCATTTTCCAATAATTGCTCCAATAGTTGATCTCTTCTCACCAAGATGCTTTCCTATTGTAGATTGGTTCATCCCGGTCTTGTGCTGGTGTACAATGTTGTCCCTGGTGTCTTTAGACAGCTATCTGGTCTTGGCCATGGTGGGGGTTGGAGTTACGTGACCGGAGTGGAAGCCGGTGTCTCGTGATGCAAGTCTGTTCCATCTAACCGTTTTCTTTGACCAAGGAGGGACCGCAAGCAAGGTGCCTGGCCTTGCAAGACATTGCCAAGCGCCTTGACATTGAGAAACAATCTTAGACCCTCTCCCGTGTATTTTAGACCTGATTTATATGGTTATTTGTTACGAAGCTGACAATATTTTTCAACAACTGGGCATCATTTCATTCCTTTTCAACATTTTGATGGATATTTCCAGAAATTACTGGTATAAACTACACATGGTCTCTTTAAAAATCATGCAATGTAACAGCCTGGATTTGTTATGTTCTGTCTCTCACAGTTGAAGTGTACCTTTGATGAAAATCGCAGACATCTCTCATCTTCTTAAGTGGGACAACTTGCACAATCAGTGGCTGCCAAATACTTTTTGCCGCACTGTAGTGCTTGAGAGATGCTGAACAGAGGGATGTTTTTGACCGATGTTCACATTCCTCATCTTTACCTGTCACCATCTTCTCTGAGGATTAAAACTTTTTCTTTAACATAGCATCTCGATCTGCTGTTTATCCCTCAGCGGGATGTACTATAATACAGCAAAGCACGAGTGTGGCTCTGCACATTGGTCGCGTCACTTTTCCCTAAAAATTCAGAAACTATTTCTGTCTTCCTCCTTATTCTTGGTCTCCCCCTCTGTGACTTGAAGATAAGGAAACAGCTGTAGCGCCAATATTAATGGCACTCCCAGAAACAGTCATTGTTGCCTAAGCTAATGCTGAGGAGCAATTAAAAACAAATAAAGCTATGCTGGCATTAGACACGATGGCAGGCGGTGGACTTTTTATTCCAGGTTTACAGCTGAACTGCTGCTATTGTTAGCGCTGATAGAAGTTATCCTGGCAACCTTGCCTCTATCTATGCATTTATGCCTGCTGGCTTCTTTAGGAAATCCTTTATGAATTTTCAACAGTCAAATAGACATGTCTGTGACTTTTTAGACTTTACATAAGGAGGAGAAATGTCTTTGGCAGCTCTAAGTCATTCTAAAAGCAACACCAGCTGATGATTTTGTGTCTAAATTAAGTGTTTTCATTAAGTTTAACACTGGCTGTGTCCCTTCTACCGAACACCAAGGTCAAAGGCTATTTTAAGTGTGTCCATATGGCAGAGATTGGTAAAACCCAAAGACAGCTACGTCATAGACATTGAAATGAAAGCTGGATGCAGAAGGAGCCAATGTGCCCTCTTGTGGCTGGCTACAGTATATGCTTGTGTGGCTGCATGGCGTGCAGTTGGTAGCACTGTTGCCTTGCAGGTCACAGAGGTGAATTGTGGCTGCAGCCTTTCTGCGTGCAGTTAGCATGTTCTCCCCCATGCATGTGTTGGTTTTCTCTAGGTAATCTGGGTTCCAAGTCATCATTTATATTTAAATATATAGTCTGGCCACAGCCCATATACATTAGCTTGGTTGTGGGGCGAAATCTACGATTGTCCTTCAAACTGTCTCAACTTGCAAATGGACAAGCGCTAGGACAAACCAGAGCAACGAACAACGTGACAAATTTCATTTCTACGGAAATCAGTCAACTGTTGTTTAACTTGTTTAAAGTGGCAGTCTAGGGAGCAGTACATACTTTTCAGGGAAGTTTTACAGCATATGACCGTGACTGTTGCTAGTTTAAAAAACATTACGGTAGATGTTGTTACCCGTGGAGCAGAAAGCATGTGAATTTGACGTGACTCCTCAGACTTTGATGGTGTTTCAGTTAATTCAATGGAGAGAATGCAATGCCAATTGTAGTTTTTTGGCGCTCGGGGTCCTGCGCTTGCCAATGACATCATCACACTACGGCAGTACTGCTCGGCCAAAATATATTGCATCTGTTTTTTCGATTCTGTTCTTCCACATTGGTTTTGGAAAGACTTTAGCAGTTTTGTGATTAAACTCGTGTTTCTTATTGCCTAAATGTTTTTGAACGTGGTAACGTAACTTCTGTAAGTCGTATGTTCAGTCGATCATCTACTGTGATGTCAGACAGGCGCAGGACCCCGAGCCGGCCAGAAGGAAACATGGCGTCTAATATGGCGTCCCCCAAAGATGCTAAACCTCCTCCCATGTATTTAAGACCCGATTTTTATTGTTATATGTTACAAAGCCGCCAATAGTTTTCAACAACTGGACATCATTTTATTCATTGTCAACAACGTTTAGATGTATATTTTCAGAGATTAACGGTAAAAATACACATTGTCACCATTGGTGTAGATTTGCCCCTGGTGGGGGCGTATAAATCGAGAACCATAATTAACATGGTTAGCTCTCTTTCTCTCTCAGACGGTACATCCCCTGTAGTTCTGATGAGCTCCAGCTTGTTTCAAATTTCAGGTGAAAACACTTTGGTTTAGTTTTTCAGAACTAGAAGCAGCTGGTCGGCTGATTTACGGCTCTTCAAAAGGAATATAAGGCTGAAGCAAGTCTGGGAGGAACAGGAATACATTTATAAGCCAAAAGTAAATGTTCTAATCAATCCTGTGGCACTCGTGGAGACAATAGAGAGGACAGAATAGGTGGGATGAACTCATGCTTGTGTGTTCCAGGTAAAAGACAAGCAACAGCATATTATTGAATATGTTAGATGCTTAAGAGAGAGGCCTGACCAGGATAAAGTGCATCGCATCAGTCGGGACGAGCTGTGATAAAAGCGTGTTATTCTCTCTCCAGGCTACGCGTCTAAAGGAATGTCTCAAGTTTTGATGTCAGCTTTACAAAATAGGTGTAGACATTTGGACCTTGTTTCAACACATTGGGTCGACTATTGCGGTCCCCATCTGCAAAACTCTGATTCTAGCTGCTGTATGGTCAGTGCATTGTAAAACTGCTGCACATATTTCCTCATTTCTGCGTTCATTGAAGAAAAAGTTCAACATGAGCTACATTATGTTGATGAAAACAGCTCTGATAACTGCTTCATGTATAACATAGATTCAGTAACAAGTCTTGGGTTTTTGAATCACATTTCAATAGTCAGCCATACTGTAGATATGAAATGAGTTATCCAGCATTTATTTCCACTCAGTTTATAAAAAATGTTGTTGTAGATGTGTAAAATGAGCCATTGCTGTTGAATAAAATCCTATAAATACATTTATTGATTTTCTGCATAATCAAAATCCTTTTAAGCTGTCTGTAGTGTGCATATAGAGGGGAAATGGCAAACCAAATAGACAAATCAACAAAGATACATATGTAAGTGAGGTGGTGTGCAAAATAGCAAGTCTGACATATCCCCACTTAGTTGCTAAGCTTCTAATTGTTCTCTCTCTCTCTCTCTCTCTCTCTCTCTCTCTCTCTCTCTCTATTTTTTTAACACAAGAATGCATTCACATTTTTAGGATAATGCATGCTTAACGGTTTTGTCACATCATTTTATGTCTTGATTTTTTTTCCACTTTTATTCTCTCAGAAATAAAGATGTGTAACATCCGTGATGCTTCGTTTTGGCATCTCATGCTTTTATTAAAGGTGTTGAGTTATTAAATCGGAGTGATGCAAGTTAAAGCTGCAGTATCATGGAGAAAATGGAAAACTGCACACATTACTCATAAAACTGATTTATTGCGACAACCTCAGCGGTCAGATGGTCAATAATCCTGGATCCCATTTGGTTTTACAGTTTCTGGATGCTGCATTTGTTGCTATTGGCAACAGACATATTTAAGAATGTTTGAAAATATTCAAAGACTGATTTGTAGAAATACAGAAAAAAATCTCAGCAATCTTTTGGTTAAAAGTGCAAAGTTCAACTTGAGGTGCAAACGTTGACTCAATTGGATTCTATGTAAGTTTGTTTGCAGAATTATTCTAATTGATCCCACTGGCGTTTCTCTCTCTCTCTCTCACACACACACACACATACACACACATGCACACACACACACACACACACACACACTCAACATTCTCCTTTTCCGAACACAAACACACTCTGGAGTCTAAATAATGAAATGTGCTGCTAAATCTGTGGAACTACAAAGCAGTTATTTCTCTCAGCTTTTTTTTTTGCCAGGATCATCACAGAGAGCCAGCAACTATCTGGCTCCCCAGGCAAGACTTAAAGCTTTGACTTTTGCTTTGTGATTAGTTTAAAACTTTGGTTCAACATTCAGTCGACCAGCTGCAGACGTAACAGCTGTACACACATGTGAGCCGAGGCAGAGACAGAGAACTATGAAAAAGATATATATTGGCAAAACAGCCCTGAAAACCCAGAGAAATGGATGCAAACATCCAAAAAGGAGGTAAGACAAGTCAGCCTGGAAAGTGTTTTCAACTTACCTTCACTCGTTTCATTCATTTTAACTCATTCTTATCAGGTCATAACCACAGAAAACTTTAAAGCATCCATTCATTTTCAGCATTAATCTTCGCTCAAGCACAAACACTCTGACTGTGTGGTGTTATGGGTGAGAAATGTAAAGAGTGATATGCATTATTTGAAGTTATTGTATATATTCTTTACATTTAAGCAACTATTGATGGTTTGGTGGACCCCTTTTTTTTTACAGTGTAGAATATATTATAATAAATTAATACAATGGCATTAATTAAGCTAGTGTACCATATGGAGATAAGAGCTGAGACTTATTTTTCTTTTCCGTGTAACTAAAGAGGGATTTGGGGGCCAATTGAAGCAGGTTTTAGTGTATTAGACTGATTTGTGTTGCTGTTGATCTAAAACAACTTCTAAATTTCACAGCAGATCTTGTAAATGCTATTTTAAAAACCTTTACCTTGCATTGCATGGTTGTTTTGGCAGCTCGTGATTTTGCAGCAGCTTGTGCAGCTCTTAATAGGAAGCTAGTTTTGTTGGGATAATGAGCTAAAGGAGGGAGACATGCAAGCCTGAAATGTTGAGCTGACCTGTCTGATTTCTTAAGGCTTGTTTCTGCTACTGAAATAATGCAACATCATCTGCAAACAGCCTCCATGAAGCAACTCTGGTTGGGATACAAATGCCTGCATTGAGATTGCAGTGATCCCAAGCAAACACTGTTAGTTATGCTGTAACAGGGTGGGTGTTGGATGTCTTTTGTCATCTGGCTGTGCAGGAACACTGAACAAGTACAGACAAAAAGCTTCATCTCGCTGAGCACTCACCTCCTCTCCAAAATTTCCAGCCTGTCATTACCACATTGATTCCATCTGTCATCTCGCTGAAGTATTTTATCCCCCATGTGCAAACCTACACTGTGCTTCATCGTGATATGATAGACCTGTACAGGCCATTCTCTATATCTCCACCGCCTTTTCTTTTGCCATTTTACCTTATTCTAAAGAATACAAACACAGCATTCTGAGCTTCGTTTTGTACGATCAGACTTTATTTTATAAAACACTAATAGTCCATGTCTGGGACCAAAACCGCTGCGTGTTCTGTTAGAAATTCGATGGGGGTGTTGTGTAATGAAATTCACCGTTCCACCAGTGGGAGATCTGTGCCCAGCTCTGCTCCCTCTCTGTGATTTGGAAATTATTAGTATTCTTCTTTCATCCATCTCCACCTCCACAGCTTTCTGCGGCCCATGCCTCGTGTTCCTCCGCCAAACTAAATTGTTCTCCAGCTTCACTTCATCCCCTGCCCTTTCTTCTCATTCTCTCAAAACATATTTCTTTCGGCGTTTCCTGTTTGCCTGTCCACATTTGCCCCAATGCTTGACTTTATGAACCTGACAGAAATTAAAGTTCACGGCTGCTGTGACAACCACTCACCTCTCTACGCCATCTGTTCAGCTCTTTCCATGACCACAAGGACGACCTTCGTAAACGCCTGTCTTACACCAGCCACAAACTAGAGATGGTGGAAACAGAGTTTGACTCCACCCGGCAATACCTGGAGACGGAGCTGCGACGGGCCCAGGAGGAGCTGGAGAAATTTACAGAGAAGCTACGCAGGTGCGTGTGCTCACGTGCGAAGGATGCCTGATCAACATGACCAAGGCATTGCATTGCAAATTAGAGATTTGTGCTGCATAAACAATAAGATTCCTCTCATTTGTCCTGGTTACAAGGGTCATAAATCCATATAAGTCCATGCAAACTATTCACACGGCTGCTAAAGTCGAGAAATATGGTTCAAGAAAGGCTATAAAAATCTGCATATCTAGCTAAAACCAGTCAAATGGCTCTAATTTATTGACTTCTATGAGATGTGCACACATTAGCTGTCATTGTTTGGTCTGACAGAAGAAATGTAGCAGGAGAATGATGCAAGAATATCCGCATCTATTGGGATTTAGGAGGGAGTTTGAAGAGAATGACAAAATCAATGATATTGATCTGGTTGTTAAAGCTGATTTTTAAAGAAAGCCATCAGAAAGCTGGATCCTAGAGCATTGTTAAAAAATATAAGCAGTATTTTATGACAGAAATTTGATTTGTGTGTGCGCATTGTGGGTTTTATGTAAACAAAATGCCACAATAACTTTAAATTTTAAGCTCTCTTCTACAAAAAAATAGATATTTTTAATAGTTTAGGTTTAAGATGAGGGATAAAGGGTAAATGGCCTGTATTTGACATAGCGCCTTCTAGAGTCCTGGAACCCCCCAAGGTGCTTTACAACACAATCAGTCATTCACACACACATTCACACGAAGGTGGGGATGAGCTACGATGTAGCCACAACTGCCCTGGGGCGCACTGACAGAGACGAGGCTGCCGAGCACTGGCACCATCGGTCCCTCCGACCACCACCAGCAGAAAATGGGGGTTAAGTGTCTTGCCCAAGGACACAAGACAGCAACAAACTGAGCGGGGCTCGAACCTGCAACCTTCCGATTACTGGGCGAGCACTTCTACATCTAGACTATTCACAAAGCAATAAAATTAGGCTACAACTGTTTAGTTGCCCACATTTGTCTCCAGACAAATGAAAAGCAATGATACATGTAAACATGTAAACCATGTAAACCAGCTCAGTGGCCTAGTGGTAGAGTGTCTGCCCTGAGACTGGGAGATCAGGGTTCGATTCCTGGTCGGGTCATACCAAAGACTTTGAAAAAATGGGACCCAATGCCTCCCTGCTTGACACTCAGCATTAAGGGGTTGGATTGGGGGGTTAAACCACCAAATGGTTCCCGAGCGCGGCTGTGTCTGCAGCTCACCACTCCCCCAGGGGATGGGTCAAATGCGGAGAACAAATTTCGCACACACACCTGTGTGTGTGACAACTAATGGGACTTTAACTTTAACTTTAACATATAAACTTTGGCCCGATCCCAGTACTCGCACTGCGCCCTACGGCCTTCTGTCAAGTGCACATGGAGGAAGTGTGCAGTAAGGCTTTGAGTGTGTAGTACACAAGTATGCAAATAATTGCCGAATTGGGACAGTGACCATTGCATCATTGACCATGGATGACTAACGGATGCCCGTTGCTATTTGTGCTACCTTTTAAAAAAAAAAAATCTTTAACAACTCTTAAACAAATAATTTACAACATTTACATTTGTTGCTGTCCATAATAAATCAGTCTTAATCTTTCAGAGCATGAATAAATATCATTAATCATATTAAAATGAACTTCCTTCATTTGAAAATACATATTTTCATAAAAGGCATTTGAGCCATTGATCTGCCTTCTTGTTAAAATTCCCATGAAACAATGGATTGCGGGTAATACCCTTTTCCCAAGTCTGCATTGATGCAGACTGGGCGAAGTGTGGATCAAGGGTGCAAAAGGGGCTTATGGTCAACTTCCACACATGAGCATTGGGACACCCTACGTACTCACCCCTGGTCTGGAACGCTAAATTGAAGGGTGCAAGGGTGATAGTGCGAGTATTGGGATTGGAATATTGTCACTTAAAGGCACAATTGGCAGTTTTGCTAGCTTTTAGCATCCCCTAGTATCAGTTTAGTAAAACCAAAAGTGAAACTGAGCTCCTTGTACGTCTTTTTACACCTTAATCAGCTGAAATGTCTCCCCAGTTTTCGTTAGTTTCTGCAGGGGCGATTCATAACTAAAAAAAACAAATCAGCTGTGTTCATGATCTAGCAAATGTGCTGGAAGCAGACTGCAGCACCAGGTATGTCAACTCAAGTCCAACAAACCAGACTGACACTCTAAAGTTGCAAGTGCAATATTCTGGCCACGGACGGTGGTGAGGGTCTGAGTGACATTTTAGCACATACTGGCTCAAGAAAATGATAAAGAAAATATGAAAAAGTGACAATTAAAAATAAATATGTATTGTCCATCCCAGAGTCTTTATGCAAGACTTTCTTTTCACTTATGATCCGTCTCAATCTTCTGGCTTTTCCTTTCAGATAAACATTTTCATGGTTTGTTGAATTGTTCACCATGAATTGTTCATGGACTCCACCTCCCACACTCTAAATGTCTGTGTGGTTAATGGAGCCATAAATGCAACCTTATAAACACTCTTAGGCCTTGGAGCTCGTGTTAAAATACAAGCTGAAATTTAAAAGGCGAAACGATAAAACACAAAAGACACGTCAACAAAAAGACATAAGGAACAATTCAGCCACAGCAAAGTGATTCATTTGGGACTTCCAGAAGATAGTAGATGAACACAAACATGTAAATATTGATCTTCACATACAATTTATGACTTACAAAATCCAACAAGCTCCCTCTGAAACTATTAAAAATTACAGAAATTTATGTTTTCAGCTGATTTATTTTAATTAAATAAACTTTTAGTTTATCATTTCAGACAAATTTGGTTTTAGTCTGCATTTCTTTTCACAGACTGCATTTCTTCCCTGTTTTTATAGGATCCAGAGTGGCTACACAGCAATTCAAAGGATCAACCAGGATTTAGAAGACAAGATGTGCAGGACGGTAGGACATCTAACATATCAGTTTTACATAAATCACCAAAATTGTGTTTTTTTAAGATGTGTTGACTGATGCTGAAGGTTAATCACTCATATCTCACATCTAATCGTACTTTATGCAATTAAAATGGGTTGTTTTCAAAACTGAAAAATAAAGTATATATAATCTACATTATATCAAAGTGCAGGGTTAGACTACTTTACAGATTTCTAGAGAATGATTCAAAAGTCCTAAAAAGAGATTTGATTTACTTTTAGTAAAAATGACTTTAAACCTTTGCAAGTTGCCATACTGGATCACTTTAACCATTTATACCAGCCTAAACTGGAAAGTATTTCATTTTGGACATTTAAAGGGTTAATAATTCAGAAAACTCAAGATTCAGACCATATATTTTACTTTGCAAAACAAGAATCATTAGAGGATCAGTTTAGTTTACCCTTGCTCATAATTTATGCATAAAATTGACCATTTTTTCCAGCACACAACAGATCACACAGCTTTTAAATTCATTATTATTATTTATTTTCATTTAATCTAAACTATCATTTTCCAGAAAACTATTAAAGCACTTATAAAGCATCATGGTGGTCATTTCCCAATGAAAATACTGCTCTCATGCATTCATCACTAATAATAATTCCTTAGTAACTATATTGTTGAGATTGAGATTATTTCATTTCAATATAGGATATTTTCATACATTTTTATTGCATTTTTTGGCACAATTAAAATGTACCGTGCTCTAGTTTTCAATTTAAAACTCTTTACCCGACTTCAGGCCGTAGCTACATGTTCAGCTTTCATTACTGAATGAAAAGATTTTCAGCTTCTCCAGCACATTTCCTATAACCGGAGTGCCTGTTTGTACTGATACGATGAAGGAGTGCAGATTCCTCGTAGCTACAGGAACCACTCAGACCTCAACAGGACTGATAAAAGATGAATGAAGGAGGCTTGTAAGCTACATAGTTTGACAAACCTACACACACACATTGAGTTGCATAGCTTTGACCTAAAGTTTGACCTGGCATCATTTAGTGAAGAACAAGTCCTGCAGTTACCAGGAAACCTTTACTTACAGTTTGCTTTGAATGAAAATCTTGCAGCACAAATTTTGCAAGGAAATGTCTTGGCAGCAATTCTGTACTGAGGGTTGCATTCTATATTGTGAAGAATTTCAAAGTTAAAACAGTGTTTCCCAACCCTGGTACTCAAGGCACATTATCCTGCATGTTTTCCATGTTGCCCTTTTAAACAGCAGTGTTTTCCTGTTGCCACACAGCTGACTTGAATAAATAAGTGATTAACAGGCATCTGCAGCACTCGATGTACTCCTGAGGAGCCAGTGTAAATCAGGTGTGCTGAAGCAGAGACATGGAAAACATGTAGGACAGTGTGCCCTGAGGACCAGGGTTTGGAAACACTGAGTTAAAGGACCTGTATCATGCTATTCTTCACCTACCAGTGCAGTATATGATAAAACATTGCTGTTGGCTTTATTGAGATGTCATTTTTTGTGAAATGTGTAATTTTCGAGACCTAATATCTCAACATGGAAATAAGACGCTTGGATTTGACAAAACCCACTTCCTCTTATGTGGATTCCACAACAATACACAGCTGCAGACCCACAGACTGCAGATTCATGCTGTCATCTTCTAGACATAGTGAAGATGATTTGCTGAAGTTCAAACTGAAAATGGAGGATAAAGAAGATTTAAATGACTTTGAACATTAAATAGTTGTTGGTACCAGAGTTTCAGAAACTGCTTAATCTGCTTGGAATTTCACCCCAAACTATGTCTAGAGTTCACAAAGAGTGGCATGAAAAAGAAACAAGCACCAGTTGTGTGGATGACAATGTCTTATTGGTACCAGAGGTCAGAGGAGAATGGGCAAACTGGTTTTAAATGATAGAAAAACAACTGGATATAAAATAACCACCATTAAAAAACATCACAGGGAGACAGAGAAGAGTGATGAAAATAAATGCATGTGTCCCAGACTTGCAGATGCAGGGATTGCATTAAATGGCATAATAATAAATCAAGGTCTAGTACAACGAGATAACTTATAAGCAATGATAGCATTCTGTGTCTCGTGGAAGAAAATTGGAAATCCCCTGTAATCAATTCCAACTCACCTGTTCTGCAGCAGAACCACACTCATCTCTCTCAGAGCAATTACACAAAGATGGACCACACAATCAATGTCCAAAGTAATTGGTCTTAGCTGCCATGCAACCCTGTCAGAAAACTATTACAGCTAAATGCCGTAACCTCGGCGGCAACTGTCCAATTACATCAGGTGGAGGCGTTTTCAGAACGTTTTTCCCTTTAGGCTGAACAGTTTGTGATCTGAGCTGAAGATGCGCTTCACCTACAGCAAGGCCTGTTCTTAAAACTTAAAACATCTAATCATTAAAAGTTTCATTGATGGCTTTACTGAGAAGGGTTTTGTGAAGTTGTTAAACCAGTACAGTAACGCATTGCCAGGTTTGTTGAGAAATGTAAATACATTCTTTAGAAAGAAAAAAAACTCTTGGAGGAATATTTTAATCTCACTTTAAGGTCCATTTGTTAGCCTTTTTGGTGCATTTTAATAGCCACTGAGCTGTTTTGAGTTTCATTCATGTTGTCATGTTGAAATTTATTCAGACCTCGAAAGAAAACTACAGTCATTATTAGAAAAAAGTTTAACATTTTGACACAGTTTATTTCTTTCCAGGGGGAAAAAATCTGAAATGTTACAAAGAGTCCATTAAATTTAAACTTCATTTCAGTGTCTCTGTCATGGAAATTACTCAATCATATAAAATGGGGAAAAGACTTGTAGGGGATGCAAATTTGCAAAGATTATCAGAGACAGACTGAAGCTGAAGGTCCAGGGACTGGACTGGAGGAAAGTCACTTTCTCTGATGAATCCCCATTGTGAATATTTGGGGCAGCAAGAAAAAAAAGTAACCATCATGAGAGCATTCATGTGAGAGGTTGAGTCGAAATATTGGAGTGGACTCACTCACAGTTTAGCCTCAAAACACCCATGAACAAATGAATGGTACCGAAACATCCTCCAAGAGGAACTCCTCCAAACTATCTAAACAGTCAAGGCCTTTTATTCATTTGAGGGACTGGGAGAGCAGCTGTGTGACATTAAAGTGCTGTTCAATGAACAGAAGCACTGTTTTTTATGGTACTCTATAGGAGAGTGCAAAGCGCTGTTAGTTATGGCATTGTAGTTTTGAAGTTCTGACTTTAAAGAAGTGTGAATGCCGCTTCTTTTCTTTTACTTCCATTCCATTTCACCAACTTTTCCAGTTTTACAAATGCTGGTTGTTTGGCAACATCGGCCGATAATTTCCTACTGAGTTACAACCAATCAGCATGAGTTATCCACAAGTCCCATCCAACAACTCTACTGGACCATATCTGAGTACATAACCCAATTTAGGTACAGTGTTGGTTCTTGAAATGGCCTGGAAAGTGGTCCTTTTGGGCGTTGTGAAATGGAGGCACACACATGCTACAAAACTCCAGTAAAATTATATTTAGAGGAAATGGGCTCAGGTAACAAAAACCTCAGCATTCGCAAAATCCAAATCATGTGGCAAGAGGGCAAATTAAAAGCATATCAACATCAATCAACTTTAGTTATGAAAGAATGAGCTGGCATGTGTCAGGAACTGACCCAAAGATTGACTGACAAAAAACTGCAATTATAGACTTAATGTCAATGAAAGACTTTTAAAAAAAGGAAAAGAGATTTAAAAACACTGAAGCATCAATGTTTACATGTGTCAATCTCAAAACCTTTGATCACAGCTGATTCCCCAAACATGAGTCCTTTTTTAATACAACAAAAACATGTTCTGGTGAACAAATGAGCTACTGTTACCAAACTATTTCTACTGTATTTAAATACAGAACGGTGTTTGCCTCTGCAAAATTTGCAGGCTTTAATTTCTCTTCTAATTTAACCTTTATTAGTTTATCATGCATGATTAGGATAAAAGCCTCACAGGTTTCTACTATTATAAACCATTCATCAGCACGTCAGCATTTTTTAAATATGTGAAGATGATTTTGAAAACTCTTGACTTTTCTAAGGGACCGTTTGTCGAGCAGAGCATCGGTGTAGCAAATCGGTCTTCACAGCAGGAGACAGCGAGGGTTTTTTTTAGAGGCAGAGCCCTCATTGGAATTGCCATTTCTTTTGATGTCATGTCACGCAATGACATTTCAAGGGGGGGACATGGTCCTTTGTAGAAGACAGCTCAGGCAGGCAGACAGTGACAAAGGCAGCTCAAATCAAATAAGACATATAAATTAAAACTTCTAACTGGGAAGGTCAACTGAAAAAAATGATGAGAAAATCTACAAAGATAGAGATTATTTCCTAGAGAAGTGACAAGATGCCTGCTATAAAGACAAGAGGATGTACTCAGCGTGGGCCAAGAGAAGATGTCTGTATGGATGAAATAAATATGTTCCGTCTTTACTTAAAAAACACCTTGCTGAATTATAACATTGGCAGGGTCATCGTTGGAAGAGCTTGGTGGTTTACTGAAGTTCAAATTAATCTCTGAGCCTTTTCTGAGGCAGTGCTGGTGCAAGCAGAAATTTGCATACAATTGTTATTCAGGTGGGTCTGTGATGCCCAAAATATATCATGCAGACTTTAGGATTAATGAAACTTCAACGATTCCAGCTGAACTCAGATATTAGAAACAATAATTATGGATGGAAATAAATGACACCAACACGTTTAATGTCCATGCTTCGTTATATAGCTTTGCCTATGCAAATGTGTTCTTTTGTACCAGTTTTTACTCAAATCCATCCTGTTGAAGAGTCCATGCTACAATGTAAAACCTAAATGAACGGTCAATAGTTCATTTTTTTTAATAAAAGCCTTTCGCAGGACCAAACAACTAAAAAATCTGGGTCATCGAGCTTAAACAAGCTTATAGACTTACTCGTAATGAGGACTAAGTTGGCTT